CTACCACTAGATTAATCCCTTTGTACATATTACTGCCTGCTCCAAAACTTTCAATGGCTGTCTACTGTAAACATCTATTTCTTAATGTGTGATTGTGTTTTGTTTCAGTGATAAATAAAAATAAATGAAAAGCATTTAAATTTTAAAAGTTGCTCTTTGATATGGTACAGCAGAAAGAGCACTGGACCTGGAGTCAGAAGACCTGAGTTGAAATCCTGGTTCTGTTTACTATCTCTGTAACCTCAAGCAAGTCACTTACTCTCTCTGGGTCTCAGTTTCCCCATCTGTAAAATGAGGAGGTTGGACCAGACGGCCTTTGAAGTTCCTCCCAGTTCTAAATCTATGACCCCATCTGTAACATCTGTGAGAGAGATCCCTGATTGGCTCAGAGTGAATGTAGTGAACAGCAGCTGCGTTTGGCCAGAAACCCTAGTCTTCCTCTCCCAGATTGATTTTTTTAAGAAAACTCTTTCCCCATCCCTCTTCTCATATCAGTCCTCTTCTATAATTTGAAAGGTTATAGAACTACCCCAAAGACCCAGGGTTACTAGAGATCTGAACTCTCTCCTCACTTTACTATAGAATTGAACTCTCTTCCACCCTACTACCCCACAACCTTCACAATCCATATGGCTCATGGTACCAGTAAAGGGCAAGGTCTCTTACATGCTCCTTCACCCCATGATCCAGTATTGCTCCTATGGGTCATATTCTGTGCCTAATTGTGCCTCAATTCCATGGTTCCCGGTCATGCCAATCTTGACTCCACCCTTCTTTCCGCCATGCTCCACTGCCAATTGAATGTCCTACTTTGGTGCTGACTCCTTCCCTCCAGGGTTTTGTGAATTCGATAGCTTTCAACACCATTCTCTCTCCAGGTCCAAGTCAATCTCACGCGCCTTCCAATCTGCCCTGCCTCTGGGTCCCATAGGTTGTCACTCCCCATCTGTGTTTGCCCTGTCGCTGTCGGTATGGCCCTCTTTTTTTATGGAATCAGCTCCTGTCTTGCACATGTGCCCCAAGAATCCCTTGAGAATTGGATAAGAGGAGGTAACCCAGTTCTTCTTGGTAAATGCCTGCTATGTACACCACTTTGTATTTCTAGCATGTAGCACATAAAAGATGTTCAATAAATTGCGGATGTTATTTATGATAATGATGACAACGAAGAGATCACATAATCAGTGACTCCAATCATTATCCTTTTAGTAAATTGCTTCATTGGTCCATAATTCAGCTTCTTTTTAATCTCTCCCATTAGGCCAAATGGGTCATGTATCCAGATTTTAGACTTCATGTTCAGCCACTCACAGAGTCATCAGACGACAGTGCCAAAAGAGAACTTTAAGACTATATTATCCAATTCCCTTCATTTTACCATTGGAGAAATTGAGGCCTAGGAAAGTTAAATAACTAAATTAATCCCTTCATTTCCACTCCTACTAGCACCTCCTTAATTCAGGCCCTTTTAGGCCTCTGGCCAGAGATTACTAATCTCACTTCTCTCCAATCCATATTGCTGCTGAAGGTGTTAATCTTCCAAGGTACAAGTCTTAGCATAAGACTTCCCAGCTCAAAACCCTTCAGTAGCTACCCATTGGTACCAAAAAAAAATTTTTTTTTCTTACTTTGGCTTTCAAGGGTCCCCATGACCTACCTCCCATCTCCCTTTCCTGTCTTATTTCATTCTATTAACATGACTTCAGACATGCTAATACCTTCTAGCCAAATTGGACTACCGGTTGTTCTCTGATCTAACTTTGCCCTCTCTCACCTCTATGCATATGGACTATTTTCTATCAGTGGAATGAAACACCTCCACATCAATATGTGTTGAAATCCTTCCTTTCCCTCAAGGCCTAGCCTTAATCATTGAATGGGTGTTGCCTCAGTCAAACTGAGACCCACTAAAGACTTTAGCTTGAAAAGGCCAAGGCCTCCCACTGCCTCCAGGGCCATCTTCAGTAGTCCTGATCTATATCTTGTCACTGGACCCAAAGGAGAAAGTGAGGCTGGTGACTTTGCACAGCCCTCCATCACTTAAATCCAACTCACTTGCATATCAAGGCATCACCTTCCTGACCTCTTGGTCCTCTTCGAGAAAGAAGAACAAACAAGAAAATGCCTCCACAAGTCTTTCTTGTCCTCCCTCCACTAAGAAATCCCTCCCTAGTCTCTCATATGTCCTTTGAACTTTCTAATGTTTGGTTTTTTTTTTGGCAAGGCAATTGAGGTTAAGTGACTTGCCCAGGGTCACACAGCTAGTAAGTGTGAAGTGTCTGATCTGAGACTGGATTTGAACTCAGGTCCTCCTGACTCCAGGGCTGGTGCTCTATTCACTGTGTCACCAAGCTGCCCCTCCAATGTTGGTTTTTTTTTTCTCATTCCAGTTTTTATTGTATTTGTTTGAGTACATGTTTCCTTTGTTGATGTTCAGTCATTTTCAGTTGTGTCTGACTCTCCATAACCCCATTTGGGGTTTTCTTGGCAAAGATACTGGAGTGGTTTGCCATTTGCTTCTCCAGCTCATTTTACAGATGAGGAAACTGAGGCAATCAGGGTTAAGTTACTTGCCCAAGGTCACACAACTAATACGTGTCTGAGGTGAGATTTGAACTCTGCAAGAAGAGTCTCCTTACTTCAGCCCCCACACTCTGTCCACTGTGTCACCTAGCTGCCCCTGAACCACCAAGCTGGCTACCTAATTATATTGGTTTAGCTACAGAGAAAGGAATTGATCTTATTTAAAGAAGCCTTTGGATCTTAGTAAAGGGGAAAGCTTCAAGGGGTCTAGATAGAGGTATGCTGGTAAATATTTAACAATCAGCTGGGGGGGGATGTACACACAACATACCTTTATGTTTAATCTGCCTTATTAACATCTCTATCACTTATTTAAATCTAGATAATCAACAGAATAATAAATCACACCTGACTTGCAGTGTTTGCCAATTTCCCAAGTGTAAATGCTCACATGGAAAATTGAACAGTTGGCTCTTAGCACACCGCTGTTAGATATCCCCAAAACTGCTTTTTCATGGGCATTGCATGGACTTCACTGGTGTCTGAGCACCCTGGGAAGGCAGGCAAAGTGGGAATGGAGAGCGATTGTGGTGTATCCGTGTCTTCTCCTCCACCCCTCTCCCTTAGCACAGGATCTTACAAATAGTAAGAGCTTTTAATAAATTATTTTTGTTTGAAAAAACAGAATGTTGAAACTGTTTTTCATATAATTGGGGAGAAATTAATTTTACATATTAAAAAATAATAAATGCTTTTTGCTATGCTTCGTACCTGCTTTGGAGGGGTGGGGAGGTGAAAGGTGGAGTCAATCCAACACAATGGTGTGATGATAATTTAATTCAGTTACAACCTACAGCTGTATAACTGTAAAGCTTAAGACTCCATCCCTTGAGGGGCATACTCAAGAGCCCTAGACAAAATTCTGGCAGCCTGAGATTTTTGTTTGAATCAATCAATTATTAAGTACTTATTAAGTGCCTACTGAGTACCAGGCACTCTGCTAGTTGCTCAGGAAAGGGAGATAATATTTACATATAAGGATATCTCCAAAATAAACAGTTAGTTTACAAGAACTGGAAGTCTAGTAGGGCCTAATTACCTGCCCACTGTTGTCCTATAATACTGCCACCAGGTGTCATGCCAGCAGGCTTGGATCCATTAATGATTATAATCGAAGTTGAATTTAATGCCTGTAGAGAGGTGATTGCTTGATCCCTACTTGCAAAATATAGTTGGGCAGGATATACCCAGGGGTGTGCTTGAGCTAGCCCTTAGCAGCTACTGAGAGCTGATTTCTTTACAGCTGGAATATGGGCAAAACTACATAGCAAGGCTTGATTTATTGTTTTGTTGATTGTCTAGACTTTAAAAATGGTGGAGAAAATGTTAATAATGGACATTAAACTTTCCTTTCTCGGAGAGGCGGTTGTTAAACATTTACCAGCACAAGCTTGTATATGCTCCACCTTGGAAGGTAGAGGAGTACTCCTGAAGGGGGAACCTAAGTTGCTTGGGTAATGAATTGGTGCTTCAGGTGCAGAGAGTTTTAAGTTGTCCTTACTGGAACAGGCACCTGCCTCCTATCTTGGCCCAGGTTTCTCTCAACTCAGTCTAGAGGAGGAGTTCTTGACTTTTTTTGTGTCATGAACCCCCTTAAGCAATTTGGTGAAGTCTATGCACCCCTTCTCAGAATAATGTTGCCCAAAGGCAACAGAATTGGGGCCAGTAGCTAAGGCTCTGGACCTGATATTAGGAAGACCTTAAATATTTGACCAAAAGGCTTAATTTCAATTAGATGTTTATAATAATAAAGATGTAAATTTTTCCCTAAGTTCACAGCCCTCCCCCTTCTCCCTCTTAAGAACCCTTGGCCTATTTTTTTTTTTAATGCAAAAGCTCATTTGTATATAGTATTTCATAAGTACATCACAAATTAGGCTTGTTAATTTTGCCCCTAAATCTCCCAGAGTTAGATATCTAGGTTAGGAATAGTCTTTCCCATTAAGATTCTTATTTCCATCACTTGATCTACAAGGAAATGTACATCACTACCTAGAATGTCTTTACTATAAGAAGTCATGGTTAAATGTTAATAGAACTCCAAATGGGTGCCCCTGCTCTGATGGGAGTAGGCAGGCAGTTTCTGCCTTGTTTTTTTCCTGAATTCACCTACATTTATTCTTTCCAAGGGAACATTCTCAGAAGCCGTTTGAAGAGAAGCAATATCATTCCTTTCCCATATCACGGTCACAGATTGGTGGCTAGGCTCTCTCACCACACCTAGCATGGTTAACAACAGTTGTTCCTAAGAGCCAGGATCAAGAACCCGGTTTATCTTCTCCCCTAATCTCTGCTCAGAACCTGCTTAGCTATCTCTGCTTCTGGCCTAGCTGGGCTCCAGCAGGCCTCCCAGATTGCCACAGCCCCCTGAACACCCAAGAGAAATATAGAAACATTGAGGTGGCACATTCTCTCACCTCCAGAGTCAGATCTCTTCTCCGATTCCAGGGCTGCCCCCTACCTCAAGTCGCCACTTTTCTGGGTCTTCATCCATCTGGAGAATGTCACTCCTCTCGGCTGGTTGTGTTGAAATCCAGCCTCAAACTCTCTCAAACTGACTGCTTTTGACTAGTTGAATATTTTAAAGGCCACCAGGGCTTAGGCAATCTTTGCTCTTTTCAATTCAAAGAAAACTTTTTCACATGGTGAAGGGTTACATAGAAACATCTCTCTAGTTAGGTTAACACCCACTTCCTGTGGTTACATTTGTATCTCCTTGGCTATAGACTAATCAGAGACCAACTCCCACGTATACAAATTCACCCTTTTTGTCAGCCTGGGCCTTCCTTGCTAGGCTGAGATCACTCTGCACACGAGCACTGCCGGGATGACTCTTGGAGGACTGCCACACTCTTTCTTTCATCCTCTACTGTCTGTTCTTGCTTCCATTGATACAGACGGCAGGACATTGGACTTGGTTCATCAGAAAAATCTGGGTTCAAATTTCACCTCAGAGACTTACTAGCTCTGTAACCTTTCTATGCCTCAGATCTCTCACCTGTAAAATGAAAGGGTTGGATTGTACCACTTCCAAAGATCCCTTCTGGCTCTGAATCTATGGCACTAAGAGCTCACTGTGCATCCACAACTTCCCCTTGAAATACATACTGAAATCCAAGGTCTCAGATAAACGGAAAAACCAGTTAGAGAAGCAGAAATTTCAGCTCAAAATGTCTGTACCAAACCAGGAGGAAAGACACATCGAATGCCAGGGAGAAATGTTTGACTCATTCTGTCTCTTTTAAGTGTGGGTCTTTTTATAGTACGTGCTTGCATTCCCTATTCCAACCAGGCACTGATGTGCTTGTATGAGCACAGGCAGACAGGTGCTCCCTCCTAGTTCCAACTCATAATTCCAATCTGAACTTTTACTTCCTCCTGCCTCCAAACCCTCTACTTAGCAAACCTTATGCTTACAGTTGATCCATGGACCTCTCTCTGCATGACTGACTCAGCCTATATCTGAGGCAGCTAAGTGGTACAGTGAGTAGGTAGAGAGCTGGGCCTAGAATCAGGAAGATTTGAGTTCAAACTCAGCCTCAGACAGTTACTAGCTGTGCGGCCCTGGGCAAGTCACTTAACTTCTGTTTGCCTCAGTTTCCTCAACCATAAAATGGGGATAATAACACCTACCTCCCAGGGTTATAAGGATCAAATGGGCTAATATTTATAAAATGCTTAGCATGGTGCCTGATACTTTCCTTCCTGTCCCTAAGAGAGGACCAGATTCTGGCCATGACCCTTCCTTGATCCCCGATTTCTCAAAAGCCTGTGCCATTGGAGACTCAGCCTCAGCCTAGGGGGCCAGTCTCTCTACAGCCACAGTCCTGTGTGGGTCTGGCAGGACCCTCAGCATTACCAGGATTTCAGAATTCCTCAACCTAGGGGGGCTGGTCTTAAGATCTCCTCAGAGAGTAATTTCACTTGACTGTCTTCTGGACATAAGGTTAGAAGATAAAAAGTTTGATTAGCATCAGCCCATAAGGAGTGGATAATGCAGAATAAAGGGAGAAATACACATACTGTGTATAGGGCTTTTTTAGGGACTTTACAAGCCAAAAGAAAAGTTTGATCAGCCTAAGAGGCCACTTTCCTTTTCTGAGAAATGGCATAATAGGGACAGGATGTCAGGTGCTTTGGGGGAAAATGTGTGAACCTTGGGGTTAGAGCGAGTTAACCTTAGAGTGTCTGGAGTTGCCAAAGATTCTGTTGGTTCCAATGGGATAATGCCTTTCTCTGCGATTAGTCTTATCCTGGTGGGGACCGAAATTTCTGAGATGGTAGCACCCCACTTCAAGTTAGAATCCTCCAGCTGTTGAACAAAACACAGCCTGAAGGTGTGTCCCCATCTACTTATCCCATAACCCTTTTGCTTTGACCTCTAAGGTTAGTTTTCCTTGGGAGAAAATGTTTTCCCCAAACTCACAGTCTCTCCTCCTCTATAGTAGGAATTTGTGGATGAAGACCAAGCCTCTAATAGACCCTCAGGGATTCGGAAACATAATTAAAAAAACCTCCTTTTTAGTTTCTCTTGAAATATTATGATATATTTTTCTCTAAAGTTCCTTCCAAAATGTTTAATATGATTGTAATGTATAGCCTGTATTAGACTGGATGCCGTCTTGGAGAGGGGGCAGGGAAGGAGGAAGAAAAAAATTTGGAGCTCAAAATCTTATAAAAGTGAATGCTGAAAAGTATTTTTACATGTAATTGGAAAAAAATAAAATACTATTAAGAGGGTTTTCCAGACTTCTGGGGAAAGCCCCCTTGGAAAGGTCAGAACAAAAGAAGAAAAATATTTTTTTAAGGGAAGTGGATTAAAGGCGGAACCAAACTTTTAAACAAAGAACAACTCTCCATTATTATTTACTTAATTGTCTTCCCAACAGAAGGGATGAAGGACCACATCAATTGAAGGAAGCAGGTCCCCCTTTCTTTAACTCCTACAATTAAGGGATTAGTCCAAGAGGAATAGGACAGCAACTTGGCTGCCCAGTTCTGGAATGTTAACCCAGACAGTATTTTAAGACATCTTTTCCTTGTTCAGGATTCTCATGTTACCTGAAACTTTAGGGGACAGAGTTATGTCAGAAGGTATAAGGAACTATGCCAGGTTGGACACCTACCTCTCTCTCTCTCTCTCTCTCTCTCTCTCTCTCTCTCTCTCTCCCTCACTCTCTCCCCTTCCAACTCAGAAATGGTTTGGATGTAGATTAATAATGTTAAATTAAATAAAAATTCTTTCTGGTAGACCTGAGCCTAAAGCAGGTAGGTGGTACAGGTACTGAGTGCTGAGCCTAGAGTCAGGAAGACTCATCTTCTTCAGTTCTAATCTGGTTTCAGACACTTATTGGGCAAGTCACTTAACCCTGTTTGCCTCAATTTTCTCATCTGTAAAATGAGCTGGAGAAGGAAATGGCAAACCACTCCAGTATCTTTGCCAAGTCACGAAGAGTCAAACGTGACTAAAACAACTGAACAAAAGAAGATCTGAACCTAAAAACACTGGGGACATTATTATTATTCATATTTTTCTTTCTTTGATAGGGGAATTCCTCAACTACTGGGGAATTGATACACTGATTATAAAATTTGTCAATAGAGTTTACCTAAGCAACCAGGAGCTAGGTGTAGCCAGACCAACACAGGGGGAATCCTGTGTAGGGGGACAGATGCCATTCAGGGAGAAAACCTGAAAGAAGGGAGGTTCCAAATCCCCCAGGTCATGCCACTTCTCTGCTCAAAACCCTTCATCATCTAGCTGGGTAGCTCAGTGGGAAGAAAGCTGGAATTGGCATCAAGAAGACCTGAGTTCAAATCGTGACTTGCTGTATGACCTTGGGCAAGTCATTTTAACATCAGTTTCCTCACCTGTAAAAATAGGAATAATAATTTCACATTTCCCCTACCTCCCAAGGTTGTTGTGTGGATAAAGTGAGATGGTGTTTGTAAAGTGTTTTGCAAACCTTAAAGCACTATGTAAATGCTAGCTATTATTATTATTATTATTATTATCATCTCCCTATTGCTTACTGAGTAAAGTTTGGGCTCTTTTGTTGAAAATTGAAAATCCTCCACAGTCTGTCTTTAGTCTCCCTTTCTAGCCTTGTCTCACATTCCTCCCTTCTGTGCATTTGATGCTGTAATGAACCTTGGATTTCTCTCTTTCCCCTGGACACACGCTAGATTATCCTGCCCTCGTGTCTTTGCTCCAGTCACTCCTCATGCCTTGAATGCCTTCCCGGTCTGCCTCTCTCTCTCTTTTCAACAATTGGGTTCTTGCTCTCATCCTTTAAGTCCCAGTTGAAATATTTTCCCCTCTGGGAAGCCTTCCTGGATTCCCACCACATCACTTGAGTTATTCTTCCTAATTAATGACAGTGATTATGTCCCTCCTTTATTCAAAAAATCTTTTGTAGCTTCCCCATTGCCTAAGGAATAAAATTTAAACCTCTTACATCATCATTCAGAGTCATCCCCAAAATTATTCCAAACTCTGGGTCTGCCCTATTCCCCTTCACATCCTCTACATCCCTGCCAAGCTAGATTCCCATCGGCTTCTGTCCTCACCATGGCCCCTCCCAGCTCCATGTCTTCTTTGCTCGTGTCATCCCGTGCTGGTTGTTGTCCTTTGTGTTCAGAGAAGACTAAAATGACACCATTGCACTGGAGTCAACGTACGGTGTGTCCTATTGTGGCTGGCTCATAGGTCGGGCTCAAAAAGCTACATGAACATGGGGAATGGAGATGTCTCTCAATTTGTGCATCTCATATTTCTTTTGAGCTCCCCCAACTCTGCTTTGCTCACAGAGCATGGCCTCTTCCATGTTGGATGGTCCTACATGCCAGGCACAATGCAAAGTGTTTCTCGTTTGATCCTTATGACAATCCTGGCAGGGAGGTGCTACTATTAGTCCCCATTTTGCAGTTGAGGAACCTGAGGCAAAGAGAGGTTAAGTAACTTGCCCAGGGTCACACAGCTAGGAAGTATTTGAGGCCAGTTTTGAAAAATTATTCTCCTCCAGTTTCCGTCTGTTGAGGACCCTCCCTTCTTCAAAGCACAGGCCAGGTGTCATCTCTGATTGAAAAATACAGAGAATCCAAGATTTCCTTGGGCTTATTTTGGCAACTCTTAAAAAACTTGATTCAATCGAGTAAGTATCCCCTTAAAGACTTCTCTGTCAGGCATATCTAAAAATTATGCAAGATTCCTTTTAAGGTATGACAGGACACGGCCTTGTGCACTGACCCTCTCATCAGTAATATTAGATGACTCAAAAAACAGGGAGGCATATGCTTACCCCAAAGTGTTCCCCCCTGTCATGGTGGAACTCCAGCACAGGGTCCAAGTGGAAGAGGGATTCCCTGCAGATGCTGAGCTTTTCCATATGCTCCTGCTTACACAAGATATTGTATAGGTTGCACCCAGCTCCAAGACCTTTACTGAAACTTCCTGGACAAGACCCACAATCACTCAAAAGAGTTTGGAGGCCGCAGGAAAAGCCAAGTGGATGAAGAATGCTCACTGGCCAGATTACGATGAGTAGTTGGATGGGCAGGCCTCTAGTGTTCATCTATCAGTATACATATCTTGGACTGATATCACAAAAGAACAAGAGTTGGGCACTGA